GTGCGTGCTCATTGCACGGTACAGCACCCGCCAGATTGTTGCGGTGCGTATGGGTCCTCGTTTCGTCCGACCGGACCCCACACTGAAGGTACCTGTATATAGTATCAGTATTTATATCCAGGCTATATAGCAAGCAGGCGTGTCACGTACCAGGTGGTCCTTTGTCGTCTTGCAATACCGGATCAGGCTTGCGCTCGCCTCGGATACACGGATGCGGGGCCGTGCCAGGTCATCGCGCAGGCGTTGGTTATGCTCGAGTAGGCGGCGGAGCTTGAGCTCGCTCATGGATTGCTTCGGGCGGGACGACATGATGGGCGAGAGTTTTGTGGGGTAATGATAGAGCTGTAAGGGGTATATCTCGTCAGCATTCTGCTATTCCTATCCAGAAACGTTGATAGCGTCGCCAGAGTACACGAAGTACGGGCAAATACGCCAGCAGTCGCGGCCGGCTGACGCATGGAAATATGTTGACCAAGCACCGCGGAACGCACCTGGGAATAAAGCTCGACGAGCGATCAAAGTACGGGTATGGCGCACTCTTCTGCTGCTTGGAACTCTGCAACTCCTCCGCGGCTTGTACAAGCGGCCACGCGGGCGGGAAGAAAGGAAAAGACGGAAAAAAGGGGGGAGGGGGTGGTGGTGGGCCGGGTGAGAGAGGAAGTCGTTCAGGGCGGCGCGCCTGATCCCAAAGCTCGCCTGGGCGCCGTCGCACACGCCCATCATCCCAGCTCCCATCATCAGACCTTCTCTTCATTTGCACGCTTCGGGTCCTAATCCGGCCGCACACCAGTACTTCTTTTGCCGTCCGAATACTGACTTTTCCTCCAGCCCTTTGTCCGTCAATGGACAGTTGACTTCACCGATCCCTGTCCGGGACTTGCCGCTGTCCGATGTAGGCGCACTTCCGCACTACCTCCCAGGGGCCCTGTCAAACGGCCTCGCGTCCGAATAGCTTTATCTAAGGCGCCTACAATGCGAAGCCAAGGGTCCTCGGCAACAGCGGGAGACCTGTATGAGGCTGTATGGGTCTTGTTCTCCATTTGGTCTATCGTGCATCATGACGCCCTCATCGCTTGTTCCTCTCTAGGTAAGCAGCCACTATTAGGATTACTGAATGTCCATTTATGCCAGCTATAAGTATATATCACATGCTGTGCTCGAACCATCGTACACGCGCGAATCGTAAATATGATCATAATATTTACCCCCACCCTCAATGCAAGCCTCTAAACCAAGCACCCCGGGAACACTCAACGAGAGAACGCGACCTCGCGCTGCATCCACCTCCGCTTGTCCGGGACCTCCGTGTCCTGCTCAGCGACAATGACGACGGGAGTCTCGCCCGCCACCGTCGTGACAGCGGCGAAAGCAGCATCGGTGGCGGAAGCGCTAGCAGACGCGAAAGATGTCACGGCATCAGAAGCACCTGCGAGGCCGACGCGCGGCGCGGCACCGAGGCTGGCGGCGGCGGAGGTGGTCGCGGCAGCACTGTCAGTCGCAGCGGCGGCAGAGGTCGCTGCGCTGTCCGTCGCCGCCGCCGCGGAGGTCGCTGCGCTGGTGGCAGCTGCGGTCACAGCGGACGTCGCGGGTGCGGCCGACGTTGCAGCGGATGCCGCAGAGGTCGCAGCGCTCGCGGAGTCGGTAGCGGCAGAGGCCGCAGCGGAAGCTACAGCAGACGTCGCGGCAGATGCGGCCGAATCAGTGGCGACAGTCGTGGCGGCATCGGTCGCAGCAGACGTCGCGGCGGTGGCGGTGGCGAACGTGAAGGTGCCCGCAGTGGGCGATGTTGCCGGTACCACAGTCGAAGACGTTGCGTTCGTCGCGTTCGTCGCAGCCGTGGTGGCGTTCAAGAGCAGACCGGCCTTGGCGTGGAAGAAGTCGTAAGGCTGGCTCGGCGTCGGGTTTACGGCGAACACCATGCCATACTCGCCTGCGGATACGTGTGAGCTCCGAGTTCATCTGAAGGAAGATGAGAGAAGGGTACGCACAGTGCATGCCGACGGCACAGTACATCCAGATGGGGTCTGTGCCGTTTACCCGCACGCTCGCGCTCTGGTTGTTGCTCAAGAAGCCGGTGTTGAACCCTCCATCGAGTTGTGTGCACGGGTTGGCGAACGTCGACTGCGTCGCGGTCTACAAGCGTACATGCCGTGAGCTACGAATGACAGGATGTGAAGATGGACTGTGCTTACGTGGTTCGAGTGGAAGACGAAAGTAATCGTCTCGCCGGGCTCGGTGAACACTTGCGGAGGGTCGAACAACAGAGAGTTGTTCACTCCAACGTTGACGATGATCTCCGCGGCCGCGAGAGGCGCGAGAAGTGCAAGAGGTGCGAGGACAGAGGCAAACATCGTGAAGAAAGAAAAAGGAAAAAAGGGTGGGGGAGCCTATGAAGTCAAAGGCCGAGGTCTGAATGCATCGTCAGTGAGGGACTGTACAAAGAAGATGAGGTACACGTACCCTGCTCGGGGACGAACAGAAGGAAGCGAAGAAGAAAAGGCGGGTGAAGGGATGGGTAAGGACCACTTCAAGCCGAATTGCCTCGTTTATATGCTTCACCGAAGCGAAAGCTACGGCACGGCGCTTTGTTCGCGCAGACGTGCTATTCCAGTCGCAGACCGCACAGCGTTATGTCGTGTGTATGATGTCGGGCTTTGCTGAGCACATCTGAGCGGGGCCTTCGAGTAAGGCGTGCCCCATCGACTGCGAGCCTGTGCTCGCAACGTACGCATTCGTGAAAGGCCGCTTGAGGATTGTCGTAAGGTTCTAGGCGGATCGACGAGAAAAGCACCATCTCTCCTCGGCGGAGGTCGCATGTGTCGCACGGGGGTTGCGCGTGAGGTGCTTCAGCGCTGGTATCGCTGATAGACGGTATTGCCACGCCGCAGGGATGAGAACTATTTTTGCCTGCCTCTCCGGAGAGCCACACTTGACCAAGTGCGCCGCTCATCTGTCTTCACTCACAAACCAGCATGCAGGTGCATACTCTAGACTGAGAGTCTTGCAGGCTCCAAGCTTTCGAGAGCGGACACATTCAAGCAGACGGGACTTACTGTGACGTTTCGTCAGTGGGACCGTTCCCAACAATAAACCTCAGATTCGGATACAGTATCCAGATGGAGCAACAAGTCTTCAAAGGCATTTTAAGCAATAGAGAGCGTCATCGAACGCTGAGAGTCTACGAGCAGCCGGACCTCTTAAAGATGGTCGCCGTACTACTATGAGAAGAAATTGATGTCGACGGCCTCAACTCGTTCACTAGCAGAGAGCGAGATACAGCCACGTTCCTAATACTCATTAAGGCATATAGCCCGTTTAGCTCAGTGGTAGAGCGCGCCACTCGTAATGGTGAGGTCGGTTGTTCAATCCAGCCAATGGGCATTCGTAAAATTTACGTAAAACTTTTGCCCTCCGTCATCACTTGAACTCTCTGTTTATATCTCCTCATGAACTCTGATCTCGTACCCCGTCTAAGTATGATAGGTCGCAATGAAAGTGTACAGTCGAAAGCAATCAGATAAGTTATAATAAATTGTGTCCGAATATGATTCTACAACGCGTTGTCTCAGACGCGTGCCTCTCCCGCTCTCAGGCCACAAACCGTTCCCTTCCCGGTCTAAGCGTCTCCCTGGGAGATGGCGGCCGCACGGTATGCCAGGAACCACGGACGCCTGACTGCATCCGTACTCTGCACACGGCGCATCTGCACGGCGTTCTGCTTGTGGGTGAATGCGGAGGGCTGGAGCTGGGAGACCCTGTTGCCAGGCGGTATGGCTTCTCGCCTTCTGCGGCTCCCGTGCGGTTCTCCTGTGCGGCCGGCTGGGATGCGACACGTTTGGGGGGTGGGGCAGGCTCGCAAACGATGATGGGCTTGGTTTCATGGAAGGCGTCGCGGGGCAGTGATTGATAGGGCGTAGGCGCTCGGGACGGTGTGCCGACCCAACGAGCGACGAAGAAGAATATGAGGTAGATGAGCGGAACGGCGAGGAAGACGTGAAGTCCACTCGGTTCGCTGCAGGCGGTGGTGTACATCTCGCCGACGTCGAGGTGTCGCCCAAAGAAGCAATGGCTCGTAGCAGACGGTCGACTGCGGGAAATGGCGTCAGTATCAAAGTTGTTCGCATGTTCCGTAGCGTACGCACCCTGTGATAGTAGCAAACACAGTCGTCAAGCCGAGGGCGACAAGGTGCTGAAGCACCGGGTGGCTGCTGCTACGAAAGCTCTTGGAGGAGCTCGGAGAGAGCGCGGGCCAGGGCAAGACACTCATGATCCTGATCCAAACGCCTTTGTATAACCGGATGGTCCTCGGTCGATCGCACGCTCAAACGCAAGCACAAGGCGCGCCGGTTCCTAGCAGAACTCCAGAAGCGGCCGTGGCGCGAAGGGGATGGCTCCCGTCTTCGCGCTCACGGCCTTATATCTCCAGGGCGTCTGCCCGTCTGCGCGCGGTGTATCATCGCCCTCGGTGTCCCTGGGAACCAGCTCTCGGTTACGAGACCTTTCTTTCTGCGCAACCTGCACTTTCTATCGAACGCACTGGTCGTTACATGATCATGTAAAGGCATGACAATGGATCTCGTGCTCCCATCTTGTTCCCGTCATACCGACGGGCCGTCCGCGATATCTCCACGAGAGTCGCCGTCTTACTGACGACATGGGATTCCCTCTTATTCACTGATCTATATCGAGGCTAAGGACATTCGAGAGCGGAAGATATGACCGCATTTCCGCTGCGATCCCGCCGAGAACCTGACACGACACCGCTTCCCGAACACGTATCATTCTTGATTGTCGGTTCATCGAGATGGACAATGCAGAGCCTCGTACAGCCTGGAGATCTGCGGCTTACCTTTATGACAGCCCAGAGCCCACCATACCGAAGCAAGAGGCGTGTGGTCAGAGCACACACGACGCGGTCACGGTAGCCACACCCCGCGCGCGACCGTGCCGACCGGGCAGGAGGAGGCCTTGTGCGCATGTTCTATGTATCACTTCTGGGACCCTGGGCTACGTGGCGTATCCAGGGCACATCGCAATTGTCAATCCAACTGACGCATACAGCCGCCCGGGCTCCTTCGTACTCCGCGTGTAACATTATTGTCCAGAAATGACCAGCGTGCGTATGCGGATCCAGACCCGCGTAGACCTGGCTCAGTAGCCAGAGGAGGCATCGTGCGGCCAAGTCCAACTATGTGCATTGAATGCTGGTCATAATATCTACTCGTACCCCGTCAACATTCTTATCTGGTTGAATGACGCTGCCATGACCTCAGTTTTGTTTTGGGTACATTCATCCATACATGCTTTGCGGTCACTCTGAGCCAGGAGGCGACACCGATATCGATGCCCAGCCACCACCGTGGCCAATTTCTCCGTCAGTCTACCTTCCTCGCCGAGTGAGATGCGCTTTAACGTCGGATACAACCCGCCGCCATCCGAGGATACGGAAAGATATCGCAATGCGAACAATGACTACTATACAATTATATAGTCGCGTGAGCAGAAGAGCGGACAGAATGACATTATGGTATCGACGTGAGGTGCATGAACATGAGTGGGATGATAGAGCTACAAGTACAATTGCGTTCGTGACGTGCATGAGCGTGATAAGGACGGGAGGCAGAAAGCAGAGAGCAAGCAGAAAACATTCAGATGAAATTCGAAATGTCCAGTATGCAGACCTTCCCCTCCGGCGACACACCGACGACGCGGTCTCCATACCCGAAAGCCCGCTTGATCGTTCCAGCCGGAAGCCGTGCGAGCAGTGTACTATCCTCAAACACCATATCGGCGTGGCGCATCCGAAGCGCGTCCTCCTCGTCCACCCAAACATGCAGCGCCTCCGGGTCCTCCACATCAGCATCGCCGCGGTCCGGCAACAGAGAGGGCATCCTGTTCGCGCGCAGGTCAAATGCGAGCTTCCCGGGTGCTGGGGGCTCGAAGACTCGGGTGCCAGGGAGGTGAAGGGTGACTGATTGTCGCAGATGTGCGTACAGGACGCGATTATCTTGGCTAAATGAGAGCGCGGCGACATCGCAGTGTAAGCCCATGTAGACGAGGTTCACGATGCGTGCGAGTGTTCCCGTCTTTGTGTCCCATACGAGTGCGTACGTGCGCTCCGAGGCGCACGAGGCCGCGAGAAGGGTCCCATCCGGAGAGAACGCAAGGGCTGTCACACGGATGGGTGGAGCCTTTGCCCCCAAGGGCGCGGTTTTGGTATCCCAATGTGTGTGAGGAGTCGAAATGCAGTCCAGGGTGTGTGCGCCGGTCCGTGCGTCGTATACCGCAACAGAGACGGCGTACGAGTCGCCTACGGGAAGCGCGATGAGTGTACCGTTGACGCTGAAGGCGCAATGCTCGGGGAGGCCGGCGGGAAGCGAGTCGATTGTTGGTGGCGACTTGACTAGGTCCCGCAAGTGCCATTGTTTGTAGACGCCGAACATCGTACCGGTGTGCAAACGGATGGCGTCCGAAGAGTATGCTATCCCTGTGACGGATGTTTGAGGATCCGCGATGGTGACAAAGGCGGATGGCGTGAAAGAGGCACTGTCCCGATCGTAAAGAACGAGCTGTCCATCCTCTGAGCCAAGCGCCAGTTGGTCGCCGTCGTCGCGAAATGCCAGCGATACGATAGGGCTGGTCGATAGGGACAGCGTATACACACACATGAGCGTGTTCGTGTCCCACAGGCAGAGGGCCAACTCTGAGCCACGGAACGTTGACGCCAACATGCTGTGATCGCGGGAAGTAGCGATGGCAGTAGTCGCTCCCGGATGAGGTTCAAGACGATCTGATGAACGTTGATCCTTGGTATGGAACAACCAGACACCGTCGTTCGATCCGACGGCAATGCGCGTCTGTGGACCAGACGACGATGTGAACATTGCCAAACATGGTTCCGATGTTTGCGACGGAATTATACTCGCGACCGTGACAAGGCTCGTCTCGAGCGGGCTCCAGATAAAGAGATGCGCTGTGTCGGTGGCAAGCGTAACGGTAGCGACGTGCCTGCCATCGGGAGCGACGGCGACGGCGACGGCTGGCGCGGCAGAGCCAACGTCTTCGGTCACTGTATGGGCTAACGCGTGGGAAGATATGTCCCAAATGTCAACTATGCGCGCCCCCTTGCTTGAGGTATAGGCGCAAGCCAGAAGCCTTCCATTCGAAGAGAAGGCCAGCTTGTGATCTGAAGCGCCGCAAGTGCTCATGGACAACGTCGACATCTGAGGCCTGGTCTCATTTGCGACGGGTGCATCCATGTCCAGCAACTCCAAACAACCCGATATGCGGACCAAGGCAACGACAGATCCCGTTGGAGAGAGTACGCTGGCTCGTAGTGGTACATGACAATCATGCAAATCCAGGCTACGCAAGAGCGGTGACCATTGCTCCTCGAAAGGTCGTAAGACGATGGCACCATCGATGGCTTCGGGCTCGTAGGTTTGGAACAGCGCCGAAGACGATGGCAAGAATGGAAGAGCGGAAAGGTAGAGGTGCTCCGGCGCGCCGTGAAGGACGTCCTGATAGATAATCGCAAGACGATACGCGTCGTCGATAAGCTCGAGCATGGCGGGTGATACTTGGCCGCTTTGGGTATAACTCATAGTCTACACTCGAGTTAGAGGTGTCTTCCTGTCACAGATGGCCGAACTCACTACACACTGGCGTACACTTGCGAGGAGCATTGGAGACAGGTAGAAGACGTCCATGAGGCACATCGCCTCTAACCAAAGGATCAGGGAATTGTGAGCGAAGACCTCCAGAGAGCTCATCACGACAGAGCGCTCAGGGCATGCATCGACATGTGCAGCCCAATATCGGCAGGCGTAACGTATCTCGGGCGTAAGATCAACCCGCCTCATTCCGCGTCGTAAATCCACTGCAAGAACATCCAGGGCACGGACGGCGATAACTTGGTTTTGTCCATTCAGACAGACGTAGAAGCGCTCGGTGCAACGTTGAGGATCTGTGATGAACTCGGCGAAGGAAGGGTGGTAGACGCGTGGTGCCTCATCCGATGAGACGATTACCGAATGAAGATGATACAAGGCACGCGATAGCGCCGCCTGATCGATTTGTGCGAAGAAGCTGAGCGTAGGAAGCGGGAGGACCTCGCGCGAGGACAGGATGGTACCGAGTACGGACTTGAAGCGCTCGATGTCCTCAGGCTCTGCATCACTGGGCAAAGCGCCATTCAAGAGATGGAGATAAAGGTCGTCGAGTGGAGAGTAGGGCTTCCCGTTTGAAACAGTACGCATGCCGAGCAGCACGTCGAGCTGGCGTTGGGGATCGCGGATGCGATCGTGGGCTATGAAGCGGACTGCTGTCGCGGCATATATGAAGAGCTGGCCGGATTTTTCCGCGAGAGCGGTGACGTCGCGGTCTCGTGGCCAATCAGAGAGATTGGGTATATCCAATTCTTCGGGTATTGCGGATAGAGCGCTATGGAGGTACATGCGTATATCATGTTGAATGAGGTCTGCGTTAACGTGGTGTAACGCAAGCCGTCGATGTATGCCAGCACACTGCCTAAAGACAGAGCGCAAGCGAGGCTCCGGGCGAGACGATACGAGTAGTCGCAATACCGGTATCTTGGCGGTATGTTTGACGAGCAGATGTAGGAGTGTCGCGGCAGTGCGTTCGGGCGAACATTCGTCGAGCCCGTCGAGTACAAGTAGGATGACGTCGTAGTCCTGTACGACTTTCAGCGGTTCAATCAAGAGTTGGAGTACCTGGGTCTCCAGATCCTTGTGTGCGACATCCGGATCGTGCTCCAGGGTCTTGGCCAAAGCCGTCTTGAACCGTGGTATGGTACGTGACAGTTGATATGTCAATGTAGGGATGATGATGTTTGGGTCAGCGAGGGACCCGTCGCCCAGCGCCGAGCAGAAGAACGTTGCGCCCAGGTAGTCTCGGACGAAAGCAGATTCAGCGAGAGACTTCGCGATAGTCGACTTGCCAGATCCGGCAGGGCCATTCAGCCAAAAGACGTGAGGTGCGTAGCGGGCCTCAAGCCAAATTTGCAGTTCAGCGAGGACTGTGACGCGCGTCCCTGGTAGACAAGAGACGGGTCCACCATCTCTACCGGAGTCGTAACTCGCTCTCATGGCACGCGGAAGAGTATTGACAAGCCTGTTGCGTTCTAGGTACCGGGTCAGTAATCGCATAGTCCTGTACAACCGAGCTTACCTCTGCTATCTTGCTGCGTTACATGTGCATCTACCTGGCGGGATGTATGCGCAGCTTTGTCCTCCAATCTCACCAGAGCAAGCTCTCCGCGAACATGGGCGCTTAGCTATGCCATGACGTATCCGTCACTTGTCCCCAGCGAGCAACATGATAGGATGACTGACCTGATACCTTTCGATAACCATCTTGATACTAGATGCCAGCTTTTGTATCTCGCCTTCTTGATCCTCAGAGCCAACGAGCCTCCTTACAAAGTTCTGGGGCTCTCGAGATTGCCATGGTTGCATAGCAGTATCAAGGTCGCTGAGGTCGGTGTCAGCCTTGTAAGAGTGATTTATAGACAGAGTCAACGCACCTGCCGAACGTATCCAAAACGCCTCGCAGCCCATCACTGGCCTCCACCTTCTGAAGTGCATCTTGCACTGGCAACACGACTTCCTCGTGAATGTAGCGTACATGTTCAGCCTCCGCATTGCGGCTCAAACGTTCGACTCCACGTAGTATCGCCAGAAGTGCAGTAATGCTGCCTTGCGCGCCAGGAATGGGCAAGCCATCGCAGGCCTTCTCTGCAATCTCGAGCGTGACCCGCAGCCCGAGCTTTGCCACCCGAACGGCTTCGTCAGATGGCTGAAGCTTCAGCTTCAACCTCTGAAGCATAGCTCAGAGGCTCAAGAGGAATGGAGGAGGGTATAACTGAATGTCGATTCGGACCGCATGTCAAGGTTATGAAGGTGGGGCAAACAAGTACAGCCTTGGTACACGTCCGGTCCGCGAGCGCTTGCGGTCTTCGGGCGCCGTCGAGTGGTCCATGACGTCGATCGACACAGGAGAGCCGTACGTTCGGGCGACCCAAGGCAATCCGTAGTCAAGCGTCTATCAATCCACCGAGGCCGAAGGCGTTCCACTCGCGACGCCGCTTCACAAAGCCAAGACGACTCACTTTCGGGATAGAGGCTCGTGAGAAAGCAGATACGGCACATTCCGATCACTCCCAACATGGTGTTTTATGTGTTTTTCGATCAAGCAACAACTTCTACAACAACCTCTAGCTTACATACTATATACCCTTCTAGGCATAAGTGATGCGTGGCCAATATTGAAAGTGCATGTCACGAGGTGGTGAAGGCGATGGCTCCCCCTTTGATCGCCCGCCGTCCATTCAGGTAGGTATTTCAAGTCCCATCGGCGCACACTGAGTGCGAGCTCGTACGGACGATAGGAAGACCAGAGAATCGTTATCTCTGCTCATTAGCTCAGCGGCACATTCCGGTTGCTCGTGTAGAGAACACATGCCTGATGTGGCACGCGTCTCGCGGCGACGTATGCAAACTTCCCCTAGGCCTCTACGAGTCATTGACCCGTAAACAGCATTGGAGGAAAACCACGGCGCGTTGAGCGTATTGGTACGGCTCACCGCGGTGTCTGTGTGTGGTGATGTATGTTCTGTGGGAACTTCGATGTTCAGTATCCCCGTATGGATGGTAGGCCTCGCGAGATTCCATGGAATCGATTCTGCCAATGACCATGGCGTCTGGACGTCAGTCGCTCGAAGCCGAGCCATAGGCAGTAATCTCTGCGAACATAGCTTCTCATCTCCCTTTGTCGATGTTTTCGAGCCATGCAAGATCTCTGTACACCCACAATCGCATCTGTGGAGATCCAAGTGCTTGTGGAGCGTAATGGAGTGCAGATATCCAAATGCATCACCATTAGTGGCTATACCCAGCGCGATAAAATGCTGTGCGCGCCTGAAGAGCCTCGAATCCATAGTAATCCAATGGTATACTCTATACCGATCTCGATTGATAGAGTGGAACTTGACTGCGCTCTTAGCAATGCTGGCAACCCACTGCTCGACGTTGGCAAGAACGCCCCGTACAGAATCTGAGAGCCCTAGAACATCCATAGCCTCTGCCCACAGATCCGCGCTACTTTGAGCGAACGTAGTAACTGCTTCACATAACTGTTCGTCGATTGAGCAGTCATAAACGTGCTCTGACCAGTATTGGCAAGCGTAACGCAATTCCGGGGTCAACTCTGCAAGACCGATCCCGCGCTTGAGTCCGGTCCTCAGCGACTTGAGCAGGCGCAGTGCGAAGTGATTCTGTCGTTCTTGAACAGAAATGCAAAGATGCTCACTGCACCGCTGTGGATCAGTGATGAAATTCACGAAGGACGAGTGGAACAATTCAGGTGTTTCTTCCGGGGAAATGACGATAGAGTGAAGACAATGGAGCGTTCGTGATATCTCAGATAGGCTTTCATCTGTGAAAGCAGATAGTACGGACATAGGCAACGCAGTTTTGGCGCAGATCATAGTGCCAACAATGCGTTTGAAGCGTTCCACATCGTGAGAGGAGGCACTGAGTGGGAGAGCGTTCTCCAGCACTCGGCGGTACATGGAATCTATCCCTGAGTAGGGGTTCCCTCCTCCGGGGTCTCGAACCCCCTTGAGTATGTCAAGTTGACGCTGTGGATCAAGTACGCGATCGTCCGCTATGAAGCGTACGGAAAGTGACGCATAAATGAATAGCCCGCCAGCTCCACGAGAAAGTTCCTCGACATCACTCTCTCGCGGCCAGTTTGCCGGACGAGAGATACATAAGTCCCCGGGAATCGAACTCAGAGCATTCCTCAAGTAGACACGTATATCCTGTGTCACTGCGTTCTCGTCAATATCATGCAAGGCCAGTTTCCGATGTGCGCTGGGAAACTGATCAAAGGCCGAGCGAAGGTATGGCTCAGGCCGACAAGAGACAAAAACGCGCAAATGACGAACACAAGACGCGTGCTCGAGAAAAAGACGCACAAGAGTCGCGCTGGCGCACTTCGGAAAACACAGATCTAGCCCGTCGATCACTAAGACCGTTCTGATCCCAGTTCCGGCAGCTCGAAGAGGATCAAGTAATAGTCTGAAGAATTGCTCTTTGACACCAACGTGTCCAAGGTCTGGATTTTCTTCCAGCGCAATAGTGAGTGCCCTGTTGTACTGACTATGGCTGCGTGCAAGATGGAAGGCCAATGTGGGGATGATTAAACAGGGATCAGCAAGAGGACCACCATCCGGAGTGGAGCAGAAGAAGCTCGCAACCACAATATTGGAGTGCTGGGATGCATCTTCGGCGATGGTCTTCGCGATAGTAGACTTTCCAGTCCCCGCAGGGCCGCTTAGCCAAAAGACTGCCGGAGCATCCGCATCATGAAGCCACTTCGATACATCAGCCAAGATAGCTTCCCGGGTCCCACGTAGACAGGAAGTGAGCCCGTCCTCCCTTGCCGCGGTGTGACTGGCTTTGACAGCACGGGGAAGAGCATTGATGAGCCCTGCTCTAGCGTTAGCGTAATCCTCTCAACGTGATTGCCCGGAGATATTGCTTACAATACGAGACTCCTTGCGAGACTTGTGAGACTCTATCTTCGAGCCTGATAAGTGAAAGCTCCCCACGCGCATGCGCGCTCAACTGACAGAACATCGGTTGGTTGCTCGACAGCTGTAGATATTGCGAGGAACTGACCTGGTATCTCTCAATAGCTCGTTTCACCACCGAGGCCAAAGCCTGTATTTCTTCCTTGTCGTCTTCAGAGAAGAATATCTTCTTCAGATACTTCTTATCTTTGAAGTGAATCCAGGGCTCCATGGCTTCCTCAAGGTCTCTGCGGGCAGAGTTAGTATGCGGGCATGATCGGATAGTCTGGATTGGACACGTACTTGTTGAGCCGTTCCAGGATGCCTTCGAGCTTCTTATAGCCATCCGCTTTTTGTAGGGTCTCCCGTAAAGGATAAATGACTTCCGTCGTGAAGTATTCGACGTGCTTCGCCAGATCCTTCAGAGTCTCGCCATTGCGACTAACCCGCTCGAAAGCGCGCATGACGGCCAGAAGGAGCGTGATGCCAGCTTGAGCCCCGGGAAAAGGCAGTCCCTCACACGCCACTTCAGCTGCTCGAAGTATAATACTTAGGGTGATCCTCCCAGAGCGGACGGCTTTTGAGGGCGGTCGCAGTTTCCGCAAGATCGTCAGAACTGAGTTGGCGAGTAACTTGGCGTGGCGAGACATGCAGTTGTGGAGATGCGCGAGTACCTGTCGTTAACTGAGTACACCACATTGCAAGCCCTTATGTAGTTGCAAGAGTATCCGTAACGACCTGCCCCACCTGGAATCGGGCCTCCAAACAGCTGTACGATCAAACGTCGCCTCTACGGCGAGTCAGATAATCAACTGGATGATGACTTCACTCGGCGAAGTAGAGATCACACAGATAGTTTGCCAAGGCTTCGACCTGGAGTGTTATTCTGTCGCGGTACGCGCATGGTCCCTTTCCAAGATGGTGGAGGTCGCAGACTAAGGCGCGTCCAGTTGATCCCGCGCTGTCGGCGGCTTGATGGCTTCCTTCCCACCACGACCACGGCGCTGACGCGCTCTCTCCGAACCTCATATCGACTACTCGACTCTCGCGGACTGACAGCTATTGTAATTTAATCTTTGCATCTATCATCTATACCGCCAGGAGACTGCGTTGACTAGAGAGTCGAAACCGCGACTGCCCGAAGTCCGATCTGTACGGACCCATGTCGGACTACACGTCTAATCCATCCAGCTCACGGCCGGGAAGCCCAGTTGGATCTCTTCGGGATGTTCCAACTTCTAGAAAGCCCGCAGCCCCTTTTCGCTTTCAATGGGATGCTGCTACACGCAAGCCGGGGCCGGGTAGCGTGTTCTCCGAGGCGAACACAGACGGCCGCGGAGACTACTTCACAGCAACACCGCGAGTGGACATATATGGCGCATCCACATCTTCGGCAAACATTGCGTTAACATTAGTACCGGACGAATGGAGTAGCTCGAAGCATGGGTTCAACGGTGCGTAGTGTATGTACCAGAACTATGAACTTAATACTCAAGTTCTAATAGCAATCTCAACGGTGGTGAACAATCCCCATAAGAAGTCGGCACCGCCCAAAGCGCACGCGGCCGTGCCAGCCGTACCACCTGCCGAGCTGCCACGCGTACGGAGGAAGGACTTCGACGCCTACTTGCGCGCAGTCGGACCGGAGTGGGATCGGTTTCATAGGAACGTAGAGTTGGGGAGGTCTGGGGCGGCGCGTATTGGAGAGAGCACATCAGGGAGCTCTGGAGAGGGCGACTTGGATCTACAGTCGGAAACCTCACGACATGCACGACCCGGACGTGCGCTGCCGCCATTAACATCCGTTCCCGACATATTCTTTGAATCTGGGTTCAATTTGGGCGACCCTCGGACATTCAACGCTGTCGCAGACGTGATACCCCCCGACAATGGTGATGTGCCAGACCCTGCTTCCCCGGCACACTCGCAGCCGCTACTTGAACGCCTCTCACGACACGCGGATACGCTAGAACAGCATCTCGTTCACGAGATTGCACGACGCGCCGCGCCGTTCTTTGCAGCACTATCGAACTTGCAGGACCTGCAAGCAGAGAGTGCGCAATGTTTAGCGCGCATCCAGTCACTACGAAACCAGCTTCGGGCCGTCGACACTCAGGGCTCGGCACGTGGCCTCCGGGGTGTGGCACGAGAAGCGCGTCTTTCGAACCTACTATCGGTGCAGGAAGGGACCAGGGCCATAGGCGGGGTCATCGAGATGACGGGACTTGTCCGCAACTTCGTTGGTGCCGGCCAATGGGGAGAGGCTCTCGATGTGGTCGATACCCTTCACGTTATGTGGGATGGCGCGGCGCCTCCAGCTCGACCGGATCCTCCGCCACATACCGCTTCCCACGATTTAGGCTTCTCCTCGTCGGGTACACCTCTCACATCCGTTGCCGAGGATGAGGAGGAACACCAACAGCCAGTGGCTTCCAGTTCCAGCTCTGCACCACCACCGACCTTCCCTCTCTCGGCATTGTCCGCTTTCGCATCGTTACCGGAGCAACTGCACCAACTCACAGCGGAGATTGCCTCGGCGCTTACCACGGACATGGTCGCCGTTCTGAGAGTGGACCTTGTAGAGCGCATCCACCGGACAGGGAAGGAGGCACCTATAGACGCAGACGCAACATTGCGTGATCGTCTACGACCGCTGGTGAATGGAGTCGTACGAACACTAAGTGTCCGCGAAACGCTGAAGGGCTGGAGGGATGCTGCATTGGGAGAGATGAAGGGTGTTATCAAGCATGTATGTGCGTCGCACGGCGTGAGAGTAGTACCAACGCTAAATGGGCCTAGCATGTCCGCTCTTTTGAGCTGGAAGACGACGATTCCAAGCAGCCTACAGATCCACCGTTGGTGCTTCTCTCCGTACACCTGCAGCGGCCACTGACACGAACGAACCTAGATGGGCTAGTGATCTACGCTCCATGAGTCACCAGGACTTCCTGGCACTACTACGCGCAATCTATCGGGATTTCCTATCTGGCCTGGAGGGCATGCAGGCTCTGAACGATGCACTCGTGGAGGTCATTGATCGCGTTAGGTAAGCTGTTATCTCCAATCCTTCATGACCGCTCATACTTACTCGTCTTGGCCAGGTCCGACAGGGCACCAGTGGACATGAACGCTGTGCGCGAGGAGATGTTCGATACACTAGCGTCTGCTGCAGAGCTGGCGAATACCCTTACTTCGCGGGTTCTATCTGTACGCACCGAGCAAAACGCAAAGCTAGAACTCGTAGAGTTTGCAGAGCTCTTCCGTGAGACTTGGAACTTCTTCGTGCGATGCGAGGTCGTATGTCGCAGGATGATTGTCAGCTTGCGCGGTGTCATTAGCAGTCAGGTAGGCCATCTTCATCGGTATCTCGTGACCCCGCTGACCGTGCGCTGCAGGCGAAGTCCTTCCTCCAGTCATTCCACCAGACACGGATATCCCAGTCGGCGAAGCTAGTCGAGGACGAGCAATGGCAACAGGCGGAGGTGACGCCCGAACTCCAGCGAATAGCCAACCTCATCGTCGATGCGGCCGTCCGAGACCCGGCAGACTTCATACTCGAACTATCACCGACGGTTGCGCCTCCGACGTCACCACTACCCACCCGAGCTATGCTCTCACCTCCATCACAACCAACACCAAGAGGCCTTACGCCCCCTTCGTCGCCACGCGTGAGAGCGAACGGCACCTCCAACACCAAGCACATCCGCATCGAGGATCGGGCATACTTCGCCGTCTCTGCGACACAGCAAACGTTGCTTGCTTTAATAGATTACCTGAAGGTCATCATCAACCTCCAGACGCTAACTACGGATACGATGAGTCGAGTGATCGAGTTCCTCAAGGCGTTCAACTCGCGAACGTGCCAGGTGGTACTCGGCGCGGGAGCCATGCGCAGTGCTGGTCTCAAGAACATTACAGCAAAGCACCTGGGTATGGTCTTCCCCTCTCATCACATCTGGGATCGTTTGTTGACGATAGCACAGCGTTGGCCTCGCAGTCGTTGAGCATTATGATCGCTCTCATTCCCTACGTACGGGAGACATTCAGGCGGCATCTCAACCCGAAGCAGGCGGTAATGCTCGTGGAGTTCGACAAGCTCAAGCGCGACTACCAGGAACACCAGAACGAAATTCACTCGAAACTCGTGGCGATCATGGGTGACCGCCTCGCCGCGCATATCAAGGCTCTACAGGCCGTCAAGTGGGAATCAGTAACCGCGGGAGGTCAAGACCCAAACGACTACATGAAGCTGCTCGTGAAGGAGACGGTTACGCTCCACAAGGTCCTTTCGCGCTATCTCGCCAGCGCAGTCGTCGAATTCGTGATGTCGCAAGTGTTTGCTGCAATTAATCATAGGCTTTCGGAGGAGTACACGCGCATCGAGCTACCCAGCCGTGAGGCGAAAGAACGGCTACTCGCGGACGCTCGGTACCTCAAGCAGAACTTCTCCGTGCTGAAGTCAGTTGGCGGCGTACCGACGGGCATGTTGGAGATGGTTGTGTCTGAGAAGCGTCTTCCGGGCGACGCTATCCCAGCATCGCCGCTTCCCATGCCCGCGACCAACATCTCGCTCGCTTCTCCGAAACCTATTCCGCAGAAGCGCGCGTCACTGTTCGCGGGTGATAGGATACGCGGCATGCTCTCCCGAAGCCCGACCCTACCAACTTTCGCGTCTTCCGAGACGCAACTTCCTCCGTCCACCTCGCCTCAGCCACCTGCATCTCCACAACCGCCCGCTTCCCCTCAGCCTCCGCCAATCACAACTGGCAGTCCCGCGCAGAACGGCTTACTAGGTGCGACCCTTGGAGACGACAGTGCCACAAGTCTTGCGAGTACAAGTACACCGCCACCTGCTCCGTTCCTGATGTCGCCGCCGAAGGAGAAGAAGGTCGGGTTCAGGCAGGTGCCGGTGGCCGAAGAAGAGTCCCCAACCGCCAATGGAGACGATGGTCCTGCACCTCCGACGCCAGCGAAGGATACCGTCTCGCCTCGAACAGTCTTGTCAGTTAATTCCAGTAATGGAGGTCCTGAAGATGCGTCGATGGCGGTATCACCTGTCGCAACGTCGCCTGCGGGTACGATCACTGATCAGACGCCGCCGACAAACGGGCATGCAACGCAGAACGCAGAGCAGACGGTGAGGCACTCACTCAATTCATGAAACACATATCTGATTGTATAATGTGCAGAGTTTGGAATGAGCGGAGATGATACCTGGTTATGTTCGATACGCTATTTAACGGATGTTATAACGCGTTTTTGGGATGATTTTGCTTTGCTCATGTCGCGACCTGATAGAGAGCGTCTTGAAATTTATTTCAGGCTGAGAACCGATCTACTGCGGTGCTTTGATGACCTACTGCAGGCATTAGGTAGCTCAATCCCTATGCGCAGCATCGAGGATGCGCACCATGTCGCGGGGTGAGGAAATAACACACGTGATCGCGATTCGGCTTTGCGGATATTGTTTTGCCATTGCGATCGAGCCCCTATCGCCTTGGACCGCACCGACGTCCCTTGTCTCACACCGCCATCACATCACTATGCTCGACCAGACCGAAGTGAACGAGAACCCAGAGGGGGTTGAGACGAAGGTTTACGAAGATGGGACTACCATCACGACGCGCCCGAGGCAAGGGCCTGTTCCACAGGTCAGAAGACAAAACTCGCATGCAGTTCGTATACTCATACACTGATGACCGTCTTTACAGCTCTTCGCGACTTCGAATGAGGTGCGCGAGAAGTACCAACGGGATCTTCCAACGCGGGGTGAACGTAAGAACAATATGGCGAACATGCCGGAGGCGTGCCACAACTCGCGCTGCGGCAAGTTGCAGGCCCGTTCTACATTAAAGACGTGCTCTCAATGCAAGGCCGTACGCATGGTTGCTGCATAGTCACGGTCTTGGGCGCTGATACTGATACCAGGCATACTACTGCTCACCGCAATGCCAAAAGGAGGACTGGAAAGATCACAAGAAACGGTGTACCCCAGCAGGCGAATCACCCGCCGAACTACCGTTACGCCTTGCTAGGCGTGCACTCGGTTCCGATAGGCTTGTTGACTACTTGACGTTCATGGCCCTCACTACCTGGGATCTACACAAGGATCCGGACGCAGGTAACGACAAGCTTTTGGAAGTTGTCTGCGATGTGCAGGTTGCGGACCTTATGGCTTACATGTCAAGACTCATGGCAGGCCAACGCGATGATGATAGCGCCGAGGTGGGTCTGTCTGACTCGTCAAACTTCATCATGAACTAACAAGGCCACGTCGTAAGGTCTGCCTGAATATCGAAAGAATAGGCGCTGTCTCGCTTGATGACCCTCGGGTACCCGAGCACATCTCACGCACAGCTCGAGATGTCCGTCATGGAATGGCTCGTGCCCACACTCGCGATACCCCACTAGTTACCTTCTGGTTTACAGTATCGGGCGGTGATCCCGATCATGGCCCGCTCTCTCAGCCTGACTCGCCGTACGAAAGCGAAGACGACGAGGCTCACCCGCGGACTCCAGAGGAGAAGACTGCGCGCATGGAGGAAAAACGTGCCGAAGCCCAAAAGGAGTGGGAAGAGCAACGCAACAAGTTCAACGCGAAGGCTGACGCTGCCGCGCCCGTGAACGCGCACAAGAGCTTCACACATACAGCGATCGTGCAGGCGTGGCAGACCAAGCTCGCCCGCGAAAGATCGTATGATAACATCGAATCGGGCCTCATGGGACGCGTGAAGGAGGAAAGGACGCCGAACTCTATGCGTCAGTGAGTGATGTGTATCCTATATCCTTAAACCAGGCCTCATCGTCTTTAGGCAGTTCAACAATTTCGTGCGAATGGACAAGAAGAATACTCTCAAGCTCCGTGCAGTATGCTGATGCGTCTTCTTTGAGCGACATATACTGATTACAATATCATAGTATCCGGCACGCAATGCGTGACGCGAGTCGCAGAATAGCCAGATTGTATCTCGTATTTAAGCATGTACATGCATGCTTGGAGTCTAGCTATACACGAATACTTGGTATTCTCTGCTTCATCCTATTTCATGGACTGCGTATGATCGTTTCACGTCTGATGGACTAGGTAGCTCAGTCAGTTCACAGCGCAACGTATCGTGCCCTCCGTATTAACTCTGGCAAGACAGATGACCGGCAAGCATGACCTTGCAAATCGGGCTTCCGTGTGAGCCCCGTCGAGGGTGAAGACACAGAGGTGTCGAGGACTTCGCGTAGTCACGCGTTGGTGTACGGAAGTTAACCCACGTGTTCCTGCCTTGCTGCGGCGCGGCGAAATCCGACCGGCCTGCGACTTCGTTACTTGCCTCCCGCTACCATCATCTCAGGCAACCATCAAGAGCATGCCCTCTGACTTAACACAGCAATCTGAAGGCGCTGAGACAACAGTCTATGAAGATGGATCCAAAATTATGACGCGTCCGATGGCTGAAGGAACCAAGGTACAACAGGTAAAATGAATCCGGTCCATTAAAATAGTGCCTCAGTCGCAAAGCGCTGAAACCCTCACCAGATACTCACGACGACCCCTGAGATTCGTGAATCTTTCGAACGCGAGCTTCCCTCGCGCAAGGCGCGTAAAGAGAATATAGCAAATATGCCAGAGGCGTGCCACAATCCGCGATGCGGCCAGTTGCAAGCGCGAGCCACATTGAAGACCTGCTCGCAATGCAAGAGTGTACGTGCAACAAACTTCTGCAACCTTTCTACACACTCAGAGATGATCGTAGGTTTACTACTGCTCGGAAAAATGCCAAAAGGAAAACTGGAAGGATCATAAGAAACGGTGTAGTCCAGCAGGCGAGTCGCCTGCGGAGCTACCTCTCCGTCTCGCTAGGCGGTCTCTTGGGACAGAAAGACTTGTCGACTACCTCACATACATGGCACTCACAACCTGGGATCTCCACAAAGACCATAATGCCGGAAATGGACAGCTTCTTGAAGTGGTATGCGATGTTCAAGTGGCAGATATCATGGCTCATCTGTCAAGAGCGCTCTCTGGCCAGGGAGAAGATGAGAACGCGCAGGTGACTATCTCGTTATGCATTTAGTCTTGATAGGGGTTGATCTTCAACTTCAAGGTTTGCCTCAACATTGAGCAAGTGCGGCCAGTATCTCTCGACGATCCTCGTGTGCCGGAGCATATTTCGCGCACAGCGCGAGACGTATGTCGTGGAATGGCCCGTGTGCACACCCCTAATACTCCACTCGTAACCTTCTGGTTCACCGTATCAGGCGGCCACCCAGATGCAGCCCCGCCTTCAAGGCCTCGCTCACCTTATGAAAGTGATAACGAGGAAGCCCGAGCGAGAACTGCGGAGCAGAAGGACGCTCGAAGGAAAGAGAAGCAGGACGAAGCCCGGAAGAACTGGGAGAGGCAGTGCGCTGAATACAAAAGCAAGGCCGAAATAGCAGCCACAGTGAATGCGCGCAAGAGTTTCACGCATACGGCGATGGTTCAGGCCTGGCAGACGCAAAATGCGCGCGACCGGTCGTATGAGATAGTAGTCTCGGCGACATTCGGCTCCATCAAGGAAGAAAGGACCCCAGACTCTATGCGCCAGTGGGTTCATTCCTACTTATCGACTAGTGCTCGTTTGATTCAATGCCCTTATTCAGACAATTCAATAACTTCGTACGCATGGACAAGAAGAATATTACGAGGCTTCGCGCGGTATATTGATGACTTCACCTAAATCTCACCTACTAATCAAAACCTATTAGTATCCGAACCCATGAGTCACTCGCACCAAGGGTAGACAAAAGACGACGGGTTGTTTGATCACGCTTTATCGATTATATTGTATATACTGCTCCGTGGGCCGTTCAATCAATCCTTGTAGCAATACTCTGGCACCTCCAATTAAATGTCCAACATGTGAAATGGTTGAAGCATGCAGTCTTGACATCTGTAGTCAGAAGGACGGGAGGCTGGTTGGCAAGGGGCATGCTCTAGCCACGATGCATCCGCTTTCCAGAACTCCTAGTAGTCGACGCCTAGAAGTGAGCCTTTGCGTCTGGATTCCGAATCTGCATTGTGGAGGCCGACGACTCGGACACGGTAGTATCTGGGGATAGGGATGCATCTCCCGGAGAGAAATCCGAATGAAGTGCTGATCTCTTCTCGTTACCGAAGGCCCGCTTCCCGCTTGCACCTGGCGAGGTGACCAGAGTCGATGCTAGCTCGCTTTGCGAAGTGGACCTAGTAAGGGGTGTTGGTATCGGCATCACGACTTCGGCGTACGTGGGCAAGCCCTCGTCGCCGGGATCTATCTCCATGACGCGGTTCCGTGCGCGCCGACGTCGACGCCAAAGGCAGATGAGCACAGCAAAGATGATTGTCACAATGATGCCACCACCTGCAGCACCTCCAGCTATGGCCGCGGTACTGGCTTGCTCCGTCAGATCGGTGACGGATTGTTAGCATAGACGACGTACGAAGGAGAGGAAGATGACCTGGTGTTGCCGGTGCTGTGAGTAGCCGTCGAAGATCTAGCAGCAAGGGCAGTCAGACGATGCCAAATGCTCATACTAGAAGGCGCGAAAGATGACGTACGAGGTAGGGATGGTCGAAGAAGCGAAAGACGCACTGGAAGACGTACTGGAAGATGTCGCGCTAGTGCTGGCACTGCTACTGGTACTCAAACAGGAGGTGTCCGTCGGGTCTAGACAACAAATCATGTCAGATATGCATGTCGTCGTGGTCTAGGGACTACCGCACCTCTCCCGTCGGAGACCACTTGATACAGATCGGTGGTGCCAATGAATCCCGTCCTATCATATAGCGTGATCTGGTTGGTAGATCCTATACGTGAGCTTCAGCGACCAGGGGATCCTAAGTAGTCTACTAGAGTTTGCCTCACCGACCGGTTGCACGATAGTCCAGTTGTACTCTTGTAGCGTGTATGATGAGACCAAGTCCATGGTAGTGCTTGAAGTAGAGTTGACGGTGATAGATAGCCGATAAGGCTCGATGCCGAAGTTCCAGTCGAGCTGCTGTGTAGAACAAGGGGCCACCAGGACGGGCGTCGAGCTCGTCGTAGTGGTGTCCCCATTCTCATTGATCAATACCATGTTGCCCGATACAAAAGTAAAAACAGGAAGCGAAAGGAGTCAAAAGGTCGCCGGGACAGTCCAGCAAAGGACTGGGCGGAGAAGACGAAGATCGAAGAGAGCTGTCGGAAAGGGGACTGGGGCTGCTCGATCCCGCATTATATGGGGAAAGCATGTGCTGCCCAGCCTCCCGTATCTGACGTTGGCGTTGCTGAGAGTCTGAGAAGATTCGACCGAGATTCAGTTCAATCGTGTCCATCGACTGGTGCATGGTAGCCCGGGTCCCGTCGCATACACGCGAGTGGCGGGCGCCCCGGCGTTTCAGCGTCCGCTCGACACACAGCATTGCTTTTCCTCGATACAATCCGTGTTCAGAACTGTACAGCAGAAGTATTACGAAGGACGTCCCGCGGCCTCGGGCAATGCTCTTAAGAATCAGCATACTACGCGGGATCTAGCACATGGCAATTCGCTCCGCAAGCCCGTCCGCCTATGCAGGGATGTGAATGTCCGTATCATCCTCCCCAAACAGACCGAACTATACAATAACCGACGTCATGGTTCTCCGGGATCCGGATTGTGAATTCGCATCGTCGGTGGTGGCGATGAGGGAGTGACTGAGCGGCAGAATGCCTCTTCTGGAGGGAGATCCGGATGGATCGCCGACCTCTTCACCTCCTTGCTGAAGGTCCGCTTGCCGCTTGCCACTGGTAAATGGACCAACGCCGACGATAGATCGCTTTGCGAAGTGGTTCTTGTGAGGGTCGTTGGGTGTGGCATTACGACTTCAGTATAGGTCGGCAAGCCTTCGTCGCCGGGATCTATTATCTCCATGGCGCGATTCCGTGCGCGCCGACGTCGGCGCCAAAGAGAGGTAAGCACGGCGAGGATGACAGTCACGACGATACCGCCGCCTGCGGCACCCCCAGCTATGGCCGCGGTACTGGTTTGATCCCATCAGATGTGACAAGGGCTGAAAGCACACACGACGTACGAAGAACTCGAAGATGGCCTGGTATTTCCGATGGTAGAGATAGATGTGGAAGATCTGGCAGCGATGGTGGTCAAATGAAGCAGCCCTGAGTATGCACATTCAAACCATGACTCACGAGGTAGGGATAGCCGAAGAAGTGGTGGAAGTACTGGAGGGTGTCACGCTACTGCTGCCATCGCTACTGGGACTTAGGCAGAGCTTGCCGATGGGGTCTGAATGACAAGTTTTGTCAGTTACACATGCGTATCTTCGCGGCCTAGCGACTGCACGCACCTCTACCACCGGAGACAACTTGGTACACATCGGATGTGCCGATAAGGCCTGTGCTATCATACAGCGTGATCTGGTTGCTGGATCCTGACAATGTTCCTCAGCGATCGGAAGAATACGACCATGATTGACGGGGAATGATCTTACCGAGTGGTTGCACGACAGTCCAGTTGTACTCTTGCATAGTATATGATGATATCAGGTCTTCCGTGTCGCTTTGCGTAGAGTTAGAGGTAACAGATAGCCGATAAGGTTCGGTGCCAAAATTCCAGTCAAACTGCCTAACAGCACAAGGCGTGACCAGAATAGGTGTCGAGCTCCCCGCAGTGGCGTTCCCAATCTCATTGATCATGTCCATGTTGCTGCCAATACAACGCAAAACAAGAAGATGAAAGGGCAGAAAGGGTCGCTGAGACAGGCCAGCAAAGGACTGGCCGCCGGAGAAGACGAATATCAGAGAGAGCTGCTGGACTGCAGCTGCTCAATCCCGCGTTATATGGGACGTACGCCACTGCCGATGCTCCCGTACCTGATGTATGGCATTGCTGTGAGCCTAGGAAGGTGCCACCAACATGAAGTTCTATCGTGCCCATCGACCAGTGCATGGATAGCCCGGGTCCCGTCGGGGTACGCGCAAGTGGCGGGCATTTCGGTGTTTGGGCGTCTGCCCGGCAGTCCGCATTACCATTCCCTGGTACTGTGCGTATTCGGGACTGAACAGCCGAAGTAAGATGAAAACAGTCCTCGAGTGGCGGCTGTCAGAACCAGCGTACTACGAGAGGTGGGACACGGCAGTGCACTCAAGCCCATCCGCCATGGTAAGCTTCAGCTTCCAGATGAGTAAATATGATTCACGAGCCCAACATAGCAGTTATCTTCACATCGAAACCTTCCGTTCGTATAGGCATCTCAGGTGTATGGAATGGGTTCTTCATAACCGCGTCGGCATAAGCTTCGTATACGCGCTGCAGCGTCGCGTGGTTCGATGAATGCGGCTCCGCAAGGGATGTAAGCAACACAAACTTGGTACCTAGGGCAGAGATCAGTTGTGTCTTGCTGTGGGCGAGCTAGAGATGTGCATACCGGTCGCGGTAAGCAATATGGTCAGTTTGAAGGTCTCGGCCTCGATCACTTGTGCGCCGGACGATGACCCTGTAGTCGGCGACAGACGCGCGGTGATGGCATGGATACCGTGTAGCGTTCCAGCGAGCACAAGATACTCGTTCGCAGTCAGTTGGGCGAGACCATCTGCCGCGTGCGCGTCAGATCGAACCAGGGCACACAGAAGGCCGTGGTTGGCGGCAGACCTGCGAAGTTGCGCTGGTACACAAGGCCGCCGGCTTTATTGATGACCTGCGTGGGTTCAGAATGTATCGTAGTGAAGCAATCGAGAAGGCACACCCAGAGCCCGTAGATGGCCATGGCAGTTGAGAACAAGATGCGCGCCACAGATGCAAGGAAGCGCGCTGGTCACTTTTTGTGGGATGACATAACGAAGTTTCAGTCATCACCGCAAGGTTCGATGGCGTAGTTGGTTATCGCATCTGTCTAACACACAGAAGGTCCCCAGTTCGAGCCTGGGTCGAATCAATCGTGCTCGTTATTTTGAATTTTTGTTGTGCGTAAGCTTCATCAACTTTGCCCTCGGAGAGATTGTTCATTACAGTCAATACTTTGCTAGGTTCTCCTTGGCCTGTTGACTACTCTTTCATCGTCTACACATTGAGGCGCGTGGTACAATTGGCCAAACGCTGCCTTCTCAGAAATGCGTCTCGTGTTCAAATCGTCACCGCTGTCATGCGAACCTCTTACGCGGTGCACTCGGCCTGGAACGAATATCTCGTCATTTCTGGCGCCCGTGGTACGTTTGAGGGCACGGAGGGATCGAGAAGGGGGTCATAAGGTGAGAAACAGGGGTGCATGTGACCGTGACCGTAGGAACGGACTTAATGGAGCTGAGCGCGCGTATCGAGTAGCCTTACGCCTAACGACCACCAGTGAACCCCATCCGATGCACGAAGCGCCGTCTACGAGCACATAACACCAACTCTTTCGCCCTCCCAGGTGCTCGCATCTGCTGTCCCCCGCCACAGGACATTCCTCCACAACTATTCGCCCATACATAATATAATCAAAACCTTACCCCACGATGATCGCCCCCAGCACTCCCGCTGCCTGCAAGGTTGACCGCCCCGTGCGGCCCCAGCCGCGCTTCACGCGTTCCTGCGACTACCGCGACGGCTGTGGCTGTCCCGTCTGCCTTGTCCGCTGCCTCGAAGGCGCGCAGGGGAAATGGCACGCCGCCAAGACCGTATGCACGTTCACTCTGACTGCTGGTGTCCACTCACCCCCCGTAGAAGGCGGAGCGTCGCCGTCCGGCCGCATACCAGCCGCCCCCGCCAACGAGCGACTTCCTCACCGCTTCCAATCCGTGGTCAGGATGATGGACCAGGTCGCGCTGGGTTTCGTCGTGTGCCCTCTTCTCGTTCCCCCGTGTTTGCCACGTCGTTTTGTTACACATCCCCTTCCACGACGCTTGCACCCATCTTGGACTCTGGATATTGACCCTGGAATTACGACTTATTCGCCCGAGTGTACGATACGTAGCAGTATAGATCCCCTCCCCCTGCCCCATCTTGTCTCATCGCTGTCGCATCTTGGTCTCGTGCACAAAAGCCCCACCCCCTCCACCCGTACCTGCCCCCGCGTTCTTGTTCACGAGCCTCGTCCGTTGTGCGCCTTGCTGTCCATATCGTCTTATGTCCCCTCGAGCCTGCAAGTAGACTGCCCTGCTATGGGCCCCGCGCGGCGCCGTTCGCCTTGGCGACGCTATCTAGAATCGTCGCAACAAACCCTGTCCAAACGTGTTGGCGAAGAGATACGAACACCCGCCGACAATCAGCCAGGCGCCTTCGCTTACGCTCAGCGGCGCATATAGCCCATCTTCTGAGCCCGCGATCGCCTTCTATCTCTCGCGCCCTGTCCACTATCATGCAGGCTCCCGACCAACAAAGTGAAGGAAGAGCGCGCAGCCTGCAAGAGTTATCATCGCCATCGCGCTCAAGCATGATCCAAGCCTATACGTATCTCGCCCTGGTTCACCGCCACGGCTTGTGCAAGCGCCGTATAAGGTCGTCTTTCCGGATTCCGCGCCCTTCAGCCCACCCATTCCGCGAGTTATCTGCGTCCCCCTCGACCGGTTTGACCTGCGAATCACCCAAGTTGATTCCCGTGCGACCACTCCCAGCTCAAAGTCCGCGTCCAATGTGAACTCCCGGAACCCTGTCGATGTTCGCTGCTGCGAGCCTGGGAACCCTGTCCCCCGGATGTAATCTCTTGCGATACGGCTGGTCTCTCGCTTATTCGGACGCTGGGCGGGGCACATGTCTACAGGCGATCCTTCCCTGTATCAAGCGGGCAAGCTGGGTATCAACTTGGCGCACTTCGATATCAACACGATGCCGCATCTGGAGGGCGCTTGTCGGTCTACTGGGCGCGAATACCCTGAACGCTCGCGACGATCCGCGCAGCCCGGCCGGACGCCACAGCACAAACCCCTCGTTCCTCCTACTCGTGCTCGCCACCGCTGTCTATCCGCTCTCCCTCCTGGCGTTCTTATCTCCAACAATGCGCTTACGTCGCTCGTCAAAAATGGGTCTTACGCTTCGCTATATGATGTGCCTCGCAGCGAATATGGACAATCTCTTGCTCAACGGCAGTCTGTCTCATCACCTCGTGCTCATACAGCCGCGGCACATCGCGTTGTTCTGGCGTCGGCGGTCCTTTCTGGCGATACGCTCCTCTGGATTGGAACCAAGATATATTCGGTCTACACTCTACGCGCGTGCGAACAAGACCGTTCTTGTAAGTTATCTGGAATGGAAGGACTGCCCGTTCTGGACCCACTATATCCCTCTTCGGTCTAGACTTCACCACGAACGTTTCCGCGCCAACACCCACGAAGCCTGGACGGCCACGCCACATCCACCACCGCTGGCGCACTACGTGGAAAATGAAGGGGACAACGTTCTGTTCGTGCGCACACGTGCCAGCCGGCGTTGGTCAGGGCCACGCCTACACATGCGCCGCCCGGTCGCGGATTTTGCGGAGCATAGACGGTGTGCTCCTCGTCGATGGTCGTCGTTGCCCTCGCCCGTCGTCGGTTCTACTTACTACACCGTTCACTGCCGGGATTCGGTGTGTTTTGGTCCGGAAAGACAAGGGAGATATGTCTGG